CTCGGCGCCGGTTCTCCAAGAGAGGGCCTGGAGCCTCGGAGGCCAAGTTGAGGTGAAACATCGGAGGCCTGGGTTTAGGGTTTAGGGTTTAGGGGTTTAGGGTTTAGGGTTTAGGGTTTAGGGTTTAGGGGAGAGCTACCAAGACTATTAGGGTTTAGGGTTTAGCGTTTAGGGTTCCTTGTTATAGTTAGCATAGTATACCCCGAAACCTGATTCTAATCATTAAGGCCCCTTATGTTAGGGGAAGAGATGAGAGGTTTGGGATAAGGGCCTGCATCGAGGTCCCCCTCTAAGCATCTAACAGTGGTTGCTGGTGCTTGCTTGTGTTTCGGGACCCTAAACCCTCAACCCTGAACCCTAAACCCTAAACCCTAAAACCCTAAACCCTAAACCCTAAAACCCTAAACCCAAAACCCTAAACCCTAAACCCAGAAACCCTAAACCCTCAACCCTAACACCTTGTATGATTGTTTTTCAGGTTCCAGCGCCAGCAATGACATCCCAAACCCTGAAGCGGAAACCCTGAACCCTCAGCTCCTGTCTTCGCATGGGAGATCGCAGGATCTGGCCTCTTTCATGGCCGACTGCTTCTGGGATCCGGCTGCGAGCTTGTCAGGAGTCTTCGGCTACGGTTTGGCAGTTCAGGTTTCGGGTTTCGGAAAGAACTCTCTAGCTTTGGCATGTTTGTCTCGTCTTGCAAGTAATGCTGCTGCTACACATCCAAACCGGACCCCGAAGAAGCTCGCGACAGTGCGCTGATGGGCTCTAGGGTTAAGCCTCCGAAAGACCTCGACAAGGTTGAGTCATGGCTTGTCCGATTGTGGCGACCGCACAGTTGTGGCTACAAAGGGAAACAGTACAATGAGTGACAGAAGAGTATTTCTAACTTAATGTCAATGCTAGCCATACTGATCATAACAGTAAGATCAACAGCATTTGCTTTCCTCCCCCTCCCCAAACCCTAAACCCTAAGCCCTAAACACTTTCTGAACACGACGAACTCTTGGCCCAAAGTTCCGGGTTATGGTAGGTCGGGGCGTGTAATAGCCCTAAACCCCAATTGTCAGGCTCAAGCCCTACAATGCCGGTTCCTTATTATAATTATAGTAGAATGGGCCCCCCAAACCCCATTGAAACTATTAAGGCCCCTACATTAGGGGGTTCGAGCGGTCGGGCCGGTCTGGTCAAGTTTCTACGCTCGATCTCCGGAAGCACTGCGAGGCCAAGAAGAATGCGATTTTGCCCATCGGTGGCCCGGGTCCGTTGCTCAGCAGGTCTTGGTAGTAGGGTTTAGGCTTTAGCTGCAAGTCGTGTTGAAGGACTTTTGGAAGTGGCGCTAGGGATTCTTTGCGATCCAGGGTCGAGGGTCTTGGCTTCGGGATTTCTTCAAACTTGCTATGCCAAGAGGCTGATTTTGAAGCCGATTGTTGACATCATCTCGATAGAAGCATTGTCGAAAGCTGCACATCCGCACACGGGTCCCGACTTCACGGCCCAGGAGCACACCACGGTTCAAAGCCCCCGCAGACGCCGACGAACCCTGAGCTGCTCCCAGCATGGGTCTCCGCGCTCTCTTGATGCTACTACTCCAAGCTTCAGTCGCTGCACACGGGCCGGACGTCCCTGCATCTGAGTGGTGCGCCTGGATCCCATTCAGAGCGCTTGAGTATGTCGAGGACTGCCTGGAAAACAGCACAGCCGCCGGCCCGGTTCAGGTTACGGAGGGCTGTGTCGATTGGTGCCTCTGGGTGCCGGGGCCTACATGGAACAGCATCGAGGTCTGCCACCTGTGCGCGGCCAGCACAGATTCAGCTGCGAATGCCACGATGGACAACGGCACCGAGCTGGTGAACACTCCCGAGACTGAATCGATTGGAGAGCCGAAGCCAGAGAGCGCACCGACCAGCCTGAGAGGCAAACAACCACAACAACAGCAACAACAACAACAACAGCAGCAACAACAGCAACAACAGCAACAACAGCAGCAACAGCAGCAACAACAGCAACAACAGCAGCAACAACAGCAGCAGCAACAGCAGC